GGGGTAAAAACTGTCTCGGAGTCTGGTAGTCCGGGCCCGAATGCTCCGGTACCATTTTCCAGATGGTAGAGGGACTTTGCATGGCTTTGTTTCATTTGCACATATCTCCTGTGTTCCAGAAATCCCGGCTCTAACAGTAAAATCAGGCTCGTACAGCCAGTTATGCCTTTTAAGTCTTTTTTTGCTGTGTAAGTGCATGCCATCAGTCACTATTAGATTGTCAACAGACATTAGTAGCACAAGACGTTATGCACATATACTAAACGCCGATAAAGTCACGCTTCTTTAATGAACTCAGTAGGTGGCAATATTTCCTCTCCAGTTTTTGTAGCTGCTCTTTCCTGTTGCCATTCAAAAGCTCCTTGCTGTGGAAGCAGATACAGCCAGCACTCCTGCTATTGCGAGAGATTACTCTGGGATGACCGTAAGTCTTTCATATCACCTGTTAATAAGTTAAACAGGACTTTCTTTCACCTTTCCATGCATGTGACTTGGAGGCTGATACCAGGGGGTGACCCCTCATGCCTGGCTGGGGGTATCTTACAAGTATTGCCTAAACAGTGGAAGCTTAGTGTCTTCTCCATGTTTCCCTATATCACAGGAGTGTGTTACCCTGTTGCCAAGGATGATCTATAGAGGAGGCTCACTCTCCCATCAAACTGCCACTGCACTGACATGCTCTTGTGCCTGAAGTAGGTCAATAAGCATGTGCCCCTTCGAGTGTGTGTTCAGGAGTGTGCAGGAGTGTGCAGGAGGAGAAGAGACTTCAGTGGCAGTGGGTGTCGGGGGAGGGGTCTACAACTGAAACTGCTGAGCTCCTCTGAGCCTTCCCACCTGTCAAGTCATATTTAGACCTGTACTGTACCTCTACTTTAATTGGATATATATTTTTTTTACTTCAGCATATTGGATGTAAATGACAAAAATGACTTGCACTGAAATAGTGCAAGTAGATACATTGCTCCTATTTCTGATCTGTTTTCACATTTTACAAACACTGTCTGCAGATTTCTCAACTAGAGCACTCCGTACACTTAAACCAAAGAAGATGGAGGATCTCTTGTGATTACAGATTACAGGGAGAAAATGAAGTTGGAAGAGAGACAAGATCCGTAAAAGAAACAAATGCTCGTTCTCAAGTCAAGTTTCAGTTATTCTGTATCTCAGTAAATTCAGACCTTAAAGGTCTGATGTACTTAACCCATCTAGACCTATATATTTATATATACCTATAGATTTATATATTATTTTAGCGCTCATAAATAAAACTAAGGGCAGCCTGGTAGCGTAGTGGTTAACATTCCTGTCTTTGGAGTGCTGGGGCACTATCTGTGTGGAGTTTGTATGTTCTCGGGGCCTGTCTGTGTGTCTGGGTGTTCCCTGCTGTGCCCCCATTGCTTGCTGGGACACGCTCGGGCTCCCTGTGACCATGAATTGGATGCAGCAGTTAGAAAAAGGATAAAAAAACAAAAAAAAAGGTGAAAAAAAAAAACATTTTTTTCCCCTGGTACTGTACTGAGGACTAGCTAGTGGAAAGAAAACAGTACAGATAACGGTGGATGCAAAAATTGGGGAGATGTAATTAATGGAGTACCACGAGTTTCTGTATTAGAACCACAGCTCTTGCTAATTTGTTGCAGTGATCTAGGTTCTGTAATAACACACTAGTCGAGTTCATAGACGATGCCAAAACAGGACGAAGAGAACACACATATTCAAAATCCTTGGAGGCAGTGGGAAATTCTGCTCCATGAATTATGTCAGAATCGGTGAGAAACACCAACCAGGGGTCACAAATGGAAACTCAGGGGATGTACACTTCAGATTTAGATCAGGAGGCACTTCGTTACACAAGGGCTGTGGGTATCTGGAATAAACTACTAACAAAGCCCTTTGTTGAAACTGACACCAGTGTTTCTGTCCAGAAAAGACTTACCACAAAACAAATGGCCTTTTCCCCGTTATCTAACTTTTCTTATGTTCTTATGCAATGAAGATGTAAGAAACGCACTATTATTAGGCCATAAATGTCTGAATTATTTAAAAAAATGTCCGATGTAAGACAGGAATATCACTAGGTTAATTTAATTACACCTAAATTACGCTACTGGACAGCATACGAGTTACGACAGTATAAAAAAATACACAAAACGACCTCTGGTGTGGCAGTGAAAACACAAATTTGTGCAAAACCAACATCCAAACTACTTATTGGTGGTGGTCCCTGCAGCTCTTGGGTCCTGCCTTCTGTTTTGGCCCGTGGTACCTTATGTGTGGAGTCCGAATGTTGCATCTCGTCGGTTTTCTCTGGGTGCTCCAGCTGCCAGCCTCCTAAACACATGCGGGCATGGTCTTGGCATGTGAGAGCTGCCCTTGTGTGTGTGCCCCCTCAATGGACTGGCACCCCTAACTCCAGCTCAGTCCCAATTTTTACTTTATTTTGTACAGAATAGACTGCAGGTTACACTCTCCCTTTGGAACAAGTGAGTGGCTTTCTGCTAACGGACGGCTGGTCAAACTTGCAATGGTGTTTTGGATTTAGGGGCTGTGCTCTGGGCAGACAAATTCCATTATTATTAATCATGTTTCTGAACTCTCAGGAAGGAGTCGCGTTGGACAAAGAGAAAAAAATGATCTCAGCTCAAGAACAGATTCTGCAGCTCTGCATGATCATTTTTAACGTCTACAGTATTATTGTAATCTGCAGAAATGCACGATATGACCGAGCCGTTTTCACAAGCCACTGAATCACAAATCGTTCATATCTGTCAGTATGGTTTGTGCATAAACATACGTAGCATGACCTTACGTACTGATACATCAAGTAGAACGTCATAGAAAACGCTCGTAAGTCGTAGTAGCCCCAGGTCTTGCAGTTGAAAAAAAAAATCTATTACCCTTGCACTTTCTCAGATACTCTTCTTACAGCACATTCTTGCACACGTTTCAAAAGGACACGCAGAGAACTGATATCTAATCTGCCTATCGTTGTTGTCGATAATGGTGGTGTCAAAAGAGACTTTATCCAAATTTGCAGGGGGAAAGTTTAGCATCCAGGTTACACCACAATACAAAGAGAGCTAACTTTACAGCAAGACGAGGTCTGCTTTCGGGAGAGAGAAAAAAAAATAGAGCAGCCAATGAAATGGCCACCTGTCTCTTTAAAATTGGTCGCAGCCTACGCCTCGAAAAGCGGCTTGTTCCGGCTTTGCCTCTTCACATCTTTATCCTTGCACGCCACACGAAAATAGTACCCCTCAAACAAGAACATACCAGGGGCGAATTACCCACGGGGTTTAAAATACCGGTTTCGTCTGAGGTGTCTGGCGTGGAAATGAAATTGCGTGGCCCAGATTTGGACGAACGGCCCCGGCTGGCTTGCGCGTCTTGTGCGTTGTGACAGGGCGGAGTGATACGAAGGTGCCGGAGCTCCCCGGTTCACAGCAGGACTGCCGAGCGAAACCGAGCGAAAATGTCGTCGCAGAGCCTGGAAACCTGCGCTAAAATCGAAACAAATGAGACCTTAAATTCCTTTTTATGACCCGCGGTTCATTGCCTTCTTTTTTTTTTTAAACGAAAAGAGAATATCCCTTTGCTTCTGTGAAGTTAAAGTTGCTCAACTGTGTTTTTTTCGCTTTTTTTTCCTCCCCTTTCCTCTCGTTTGAAAGAAATGAAAATAATAATGGATGATATTACTCTTTTACCGTAGTGCCTGAGGTAAGTAGTAAGAACTAGCGACTTTATTGCGGGTCCAGCCGTGGGAACTGTGTTTTGGTGTTCAAGCCCGATCCATCTGTTGGATTGCATGAGGTTATGTAACTGCATTTTGGAGGAAAAAAAAAATCGACACTGTGTTGCCGAAGTGCGGAGAAGATACGGTTTGTTTACTATCAAAGCGCGGCGTCGAATTGAGCGTTGAGAAGGAACAGCTGCAGAGTTTGCCAAGTCCTAGAAAGGACCCGATCGCTGCTGTCAGAGGAGACTTTGGGGGAAATTTCCCGAAAACAGTGCTGCAAAAAAATTGCTAACTGAAAATCGAGCTTTCTGGAAACACGTTTGTGTCCTGCATGGGGGACGTTTTTGTGACAACGATGTTTTGCGTTGCGATCCTGGTCTCTAAGGGATCGTTAAGCCTTGTGTTCTGAGTTTAGGGCAGGCGATGCGATTTTCTGTAACTGCACGGCGTACGATGCCAGTCGTAGGTTTATTTTCTGCTGCTGTCGAGGTATATTGAGCTAATCGACAACTACTATTACGCGCAGTGCATTTCAGCAACTGTGCAACCAAGTAAATCGTGATCGTGCCGTATGTGGAGGAGCCTTTTTCTGCGTAGCAGCACGACGAGGAAAGTCATTACTAATGCACGGGACTGTTTTCCTGACACCTTTGGGGGATCTGGGGGGGGGATTCTGTAGCAACACTTATTTCAGCCGACGAATGCAAAGTGAGCGGTGTTTGTGTTGCGTAAGAACCGTCGGGAGAAAATGAATTATTCAGCTGAACATTTCCGCGTACAGCACTTTCGTCTGGTTGGTGCCGCCCCCGGACCACGGCAATAATCCGAGCTGCCAAAAGCTTTGCTTGCAGAAGTGGTGCGATCTTTATTTACGTTTGTGCATATTCCGCCATTCGTTGAAGTAGTTAAAACGATTTCGGCCCCAAAGAGGTCCTCGTTAGGTTTTACGCTCTGGCTTTGAAACCCGAGAGTTGGAGAAGCGTTAAGGCAGGGGGTGGTGTGAGCACATATGATATCGAGCAGGTCCGGCGCTGCTAAATGCAACTTTGTCTCGCTTGCTAACTTCTGGTTAACCTCGCCGTTTTTGCATCGTTTCATACAGTTGTGTGGGTATGGCGTGCTGAAAAACCTCAGTCAAGCTTCGTACAGAGCATCACCCTCTTTCAGAAGTCTGTTCTAGAATTGCTTCTTCCTATCTGAGCTTTATTGATGACTACATGGCGCAATTTTGGTTGTTTTTTTTTTGTAGGGCGTTGATTCGGAATTGTGGTTTCTTATCTATTACGCTAAACGGGAGCACTGGACAGCACCCATTCCCAAAGTTGTGTACGAAATCTTTGACATCTGTCAGAAAGGGTCGCGTTTCCACACAGCTTCGGCTGTGGGTCCAGTCTTTTTTTTATTTTGAACCCCATCAGCAAGAGAAGTAAAGGAGCTGTTGTTATTTGGTCGTTGTAATGTCTGGGGATTGCGCACTGTACAAAATAATGCGATATAGATTGAAATAGGACGTGTGCAGTCTTTGGATATGATGGTAATACTTTTGTGTTAATTAGTTCCTGTGCATTACGCTTCAAATCTCGTGTGATACACAATGGTTTTATGCATTGATGTTGTTCACCCAGTAGATGCATCTTTCGTTTTGAAACGTATTAGTCATTTCCTTCAAGTGCTTTCAGCTCTTAAATTCTTCAACGCTTTCATGTGACAATTGGCTGAATGGGTCTTAAGATGGTCCCTCCAGCAGTCTTGCAAAGATTTGTGGAAATGTTTGGTTTATTCCTCTGGAGGTTTTCCCCACGGGATAGCAATTGTATAGGATGACTGACTGATTTGTAATAGTTTGCAGCGACTTAAAATATCCCTAGGCCTGTGAATCATTTGAAGATTTTTAACTGCTTGTGAAACCGGTGAACTCGTGGCGGAGCAGGCAGTAAGCTGTGCAAAACTGAAAGTTTTTTTTTCTTTTTCAGTATTGTTTTGGGATTTTCTTAAACTGGTGGTTATGTCATCAGTTACATAAATGCATTTGTCTTTTATCAGTTTCTGCTTCTCATTAAGGATCACAGTAAGAGATTCGTAAATACTTCTGACTTCATTCTTTAATGCATATATCGCAGCAGTACAGCCTTTCAGAATCTGTTTCAGTTTTGCAATTTATTTCCCCCTTTTTTTATCAAGGCAAAGGTTGTGCTTTATGAAAGGAATAAATGAATGAAAATTACACATTTTTCCATGATGAACCAAATGATGCATTTTAGAAGGCGAAGGGTTACACCCACCAAAGGTATGGTGTGGAAAATCACATTGGTGCTTTTGAAGCAGTTATAACCCAAGAAGCCGCTGACCACAGATATGGAGTTTAAACAGGGGCTCCTGGCTTCAGAAAGAAAAGTAACCCTCCGTTTGCTAGATACCCTTGTCTGTTCTTCAACCGTATAGCATCGCAATATGTGATGGAAACAAGGGCTTGTTAGTACAGTTGAATGGAAAAAATGAAGACGAACAGGTTTCAAGAAGGACCCAAAACATCATCATAAGACAATGAAAAGCAACCCTCAGAGGTTTCTCCTGCCAAAAGGAGAAATCCCTCTTCTGCATCAATTTAGAGAGGCCTTTTCAGACGAAAGACGTACGTATGAGGTCACTGATGAAGGAAGACCTAGACAAGGTCCCTGTGGCAGCCAAAAACGATAGCATCCTCCTGGATGATTTATAAGTGCAGGAGACTTAACAACATCCACTTAGATGGATACAGCGACTGGGGAGGACAAAGGAGAGAACAGAAAGGTCAGGGGGTGAATTATTGATCAGGCAGAGAGACCACAGACAGCAGCCGTTGTGCAAACAACACAGAGGCGCACCAGAAGGAAAATGAAAGAAAAAGCAGGGGTGCCGTTTTAAATCGTTAATTGAGAGCAAAGCCAAAACAGAGCCTCAGAAAACACTGGCCAAACAATTGGTTGCATTTGTGACCATCACAACTTGTGATCTGGAACCTCTGGTGTACGCCACTGGACACACTCTCTGTGCCTGGGGGGGGGGGGTCTTATTTTTATTCTGCAGGGTGGAGACAGCTTGGGCCCATTTGTCTTTCATAAGCTTCTTCGTTTGCTCCGTGTGCTAACGGTGACGTCAAAAATCTGAATTTGGACTTGCTTTCAATGTATACGCCGCACTGTGTGTCATCCCTGGTATTGTGGGCTGTCTGCTCTTATGTAGAAGAGGATGATGTATATGTAAATAGAGAAGGTGTTCTGTTGTTTTCCATTCCGTACAGCACTCCGAATGCTGTACTGAAAAGCTTTGGGGATTTTAAGAATTGTATATTCAGCATTTCTGTAAAAACTGTGATCATATTTTTGTTTCCTGTTTGTTTTGGCATTGGACTAAAAGCAATTAGGCTGTTTGGTAGATTAGTTCTAGGTAATACATGTCACCTTTGGTAAATAACATGAACATTCGACTGTACTTTTCACCTTCATTTGGAGATAGGAGCAGATCAGAGTTTCCCTTCAACCATATCTTAACAGTTTATGCAGAGCAAGTTGGTCCCAGCTATTGGCGGTATCGAGTTTGATTTATGACTTGAACTCTTAGAGGATTCCCTTACAGCACTGCTCATACATCACACTGTATGCTAGCACGTGGCTCTTTTTTAGCTGATGATACAAAGCAGGACTGCCTTTTTAATCATCGATTGAGAGCACCATGAAAACAAAGCCTCGGAAAACACTTGCCAAACATTTGGTTGCGTTTGTGACCATTTCACTTGTAATCTGGCGCATCTTGTGTATGCTGAAAGAATTTACCGAGGGTGAACATGTTTTCCACCATTAGAAATGTGGTTACAAAACAGCTGTGGGTGTCACAGATTCTGAATCATGCAGTGCTTGTTGCACAGCACGATTTTGCTCTGTAAGTCAGCCATCAGATTTTAATTAGAACTGTATTATGAATTAGTGTGTGGGATTCTGTTTGCCTCCCTATCGATCTGTCTCTGCCACTGAGATTCCTAAAGCTAAGATCTGGACATGATAGTGAATGGAAAAGATCTGAGCTGACTGTTAAGGCACGGCCTGCCTGGGGTGTCAGAGGTCAGGTGATCCTATGAAAAACAAAGAAACTTTTACCTCTTCCATCATTTCTCCTTCGGTGTTTTCTGACAGTATTACAAGGTGCTTTCAAACAAAATGGCGAGAGCTTTAGAGGTGCATCCTTCTGGTTAAACATACCCTTACAAGCTACTCTTAAATTTAAATTTCGTTTTAAAATTTCAACAGTTCCCTGTAAACAAATCATGCTTACAAATGGAAGGCCAAACCCCAAGGAGAACAGCTAGTGTCAAACTTTTTGTTTGCCTCTTTGACGTTCTCTTCTGGTAGAATGCCGTCAGAAATAATCTTTACTTTTCCAGAATGTCGGGCAGTGTGAATTTAAGGTTGTTGCCGCAGAAAATAAATTGTCACCAACCTGAAAATAGCTTTAGACTGGGTAGTGATACTTTTGTTTCACACCCACTCCAGAAATAGCCTTTGTGTGTTGCTTTTCGCAACCACAGGCAGAGAACTAATGTTTCTCTGTTCAAAAGGCCTGCGTGTGAACAAGGTGCTCGGTACTGTATAACAGTACTTAAAGGATTAGGCAGTTGGCTCTTTGGCTTTGGGTTTTAAATCAATTAGATGGGAAAAATCACAGGTTACATCTTCTCTACCTGAGAGATGTGATTTGTACAATGTTGTACTGATCAGATCAGGTTAGGTTCCTGTGGAATTTGAAGAATGGTGGGGATTGAAACTCTCATCTCCAGGGCTCTTTACTGCTCTAAAATCTACAGTGAACAGATTTTGTGTGCGCTTTTTACTTTTCTGAGAATACATGGCGCAGCTTTTGAAATGTATCTTAAAACTTTCAGAGCGAGCAGTCCGGTGTGCAATGATTAAGTTGCTAAGAATCAGTCAGGCTTTGATGGAGAGGGGCA